TTTATCTTTAATGACATGATGAGCATTATCTAGAATTTAAGAGAACTTGTTTAAATTTTTTTTGTGTATCTGGGCTGGACATAGTGGCTGACACCTTTATCTCAAACAAGCAAAATGTCATTTTTTCTTTCTGTTTTTTTTTTTAATTATTATTATTCTACAAAATCAGAGAACAGGATGGCAGAACAGGTCTTTCCTGGGTGGAGTGGGTTGTTCCAGTGGGAGGGGAGAGGTGGTAAGGAAAGGGGGTGGGAGAGTGAAGGTGGTACAAAAAATGAGTACACGTGTATGTAAATGCAAAAATGATACCTGTTGAAACCATTCCAGAAATGGGGGTAGGGGATAAAGGAGAATTGTGGAGAGGGTGAATTCAAGTATGATATATTTCATACATTGTAAGAACTTTTGTAAATGCCACAATGTACCCCCACCCAGCACAACAATAAAAAGAAAAGTGTGACTCATGATTCTTTATAGCTCACATTTGTGTTAGACTGCATTGAATGCTTATAGGCTGTTAGGGTTCGTTAAGGTATTACCAGTCTGAAGAGAAGAGAACTGGAGCCCATAAGAGTTAACTGGCTTTCACACATGCTCAGACCTAGTTGATATACAGGTTAGTTTTAAAACCTAGGTTTCTTGTCTCTGAGCCAAGCAATCTTTCATGCCATCATGCTGTGCCTTATTTCTAGGACAGATGGCAATTCCCTCCATTTGATGGGGTCTCTTCCTATGCAACATGCAACTCTGACCTTTCTTGCCTGCTTATGGCACTGCAGTACTCAGTTATCATTCTTGTGCACAGATTCTAAGTAAATGATCATTAAATTGCATGATGCACGATTCTAATTACTTTCCTGGCTTCAGAATAGTATCAACCAGAGTGGAAAGAAAGAGGCAATGGGTCACTATTTCTGCAAACTCTCCACCGGGATGGTAAGGATAAACAGTTTATCCTGCTATTCTCTGAAGGGATTTGAAACAAGTCACAGATACCCATTGTGCTCACTAGGGTTTGATACCTCAATGCTGAGATCCACACTGGCTCCCTGGTCACTTTTAAGGAAGTTAGAGGGGTACAACCCCATACACATTGCCACCACCTGGCCAAACCTCCAT